TCATTAATTTTTTTTTTTTGCTTTGGAACATGTACTGAGTTTTAATAAAAATACATTGTTGCATAACCATAATGGGTTACTTTATAAAACAATGAATATCTTAAAAATTTCTCAGTTTTAATTTCTAATGCACACTGGGTGTGGTGATGCATGCCTGTAATTCTAGCACTCAGGAGGCTGAGGCAGGAGGATTGCCAAAAACTCAGGGCCAGCCTGAGCTACATAGTGAGTCTAAGGCCAACCTGAAATTTTTTTTTACTTAAAAAAACTTCCAGTGCAGTAATTACCAATAGATATGACCTATACAAGCAAAAGTTCTTTGGCCTCCTCAATACTTTTTAAGAATTTTAGGTAGTGAGACCAAAAAGTGTGAGAACCCCTAGAGGAAATAAAAGCATTCCAGATGCGTATTTTTCAGTTAACTTGTTGTCTTAATCCTCTCTGTGCCTCAGTTCATCTCTAATACCATAGTCCTCCTTGTGATGTGGTTGGCTATTGATCTCTTCCTTTTCCTAGTGAATTCTGGAGCACTCACTGCAAAAACGTATCACACACCTAACTTGGTGCTTGGTGTGAATACAGGGATGGTCTTGGGCAAGACAACAATAAACTGGTACCAATGATTATTCCTCAAAAAATTGGGAAACTGGGAGAAAGTGGCATGGTAAACCTTTCTACTGGGCTTGATTTTTTAAAAATACATTGTACATAGCCGGGCATGGTGGTGCATGCCTGTAATCCCAGCAGTCAGGAAGCTGAGGCAGGATGATTGCCAAAAGTTGGAGGCTAGCCTGGGTTACATCGTTCAGGGGCAGCCTGAACTATACTGCGAGACCCTGTCTCAAAAAACAAAATATCCACATTGTACATGTACATTGCTTGTATTTAATAATGAACAATTAAAAGTAAAATTACACTTTGTTGGGGAGTTTACTGAGGATTGAACCCAGGTCCTTTGCACTGAGATGTATTTTTAGCCTTTGTTTGTTTGAGACAGTCTCGCTAAATTACTAAATTGTCTAGGCTGGGCTTGAACTTGTAATTTTCCTGCCTCAGGTTCCCAGGATGTTGAGATTACAGGTATACACTGCCACACCCAGCTAAATTAATTTTTTTCTGCTACGAGGATTGCACGCAGGACCTTTCCACTGAGTTATATATCTCTAGCCTTTTTATTATTTTTTATTTTGAGATAGGGTTTAGCTAAGCCACTAAATTGCCCAGTAAAGGTTCAAGCTTGTGATTCTCCTGGCTCAGCCTCCCAGCATGACTACAGCATGACAAGACTACAGTAATCATGCGTGGCTCTAAATTATTTTAATGAATATGTACTTTTAATAAATATAAATGAATAAGAAGCTTAAGTTAGCTCAAGGAAAGCAGTATTGATTGAAACACACACACGGACATACACACACAGACACGCACACACGCGAGCTTCTGCCCTTTTCACTGACAGATTTTTCAGAAACCACTCTAGCCTGTTAGCGGTACGAGCCGCCGCGCTCCTTGCAAGACCACGCCCCAAAATGTCACTTCCGGTAGACCTGCTTTCCCTGAACACCTTCTGGCTCCCGCCTTCCCCCGCTTCCGGTCGTCGTCGTCGCCGCCGCTACTCCTGCTGCTGCTGCTACTGGGGCTGGTGGCGGAGGTCTGAGAATCGGGCGGCGGCGGCGGCGGCCGAGAGGGCGGCGGCGGGAGGGAAGGAGCAGGACGAGGGAACGAGAGGAGGCGAGCGCGGAGCGAGCGGAGCGCGCCCTTCCGCCCTCCTGAGGTTCCGGAGCCTCCCGGGCCCGCAGCCGCCGCCGCCCGTCCGCCCGTCCGCCAGTCCGCCCGCCCGCCGGACAAAGCCGAGAGCCCGCGCTGGAGCCATGTCCTCGTCTGCCGGCAGCGGCCACCAGCCCAGCCAGAGCCGTGCCATCCCCACCCGCACCGTGCCCATCAGCGACGCGGCGCAGCTACCTCATGACTATTGCACCACGCCCGGGGGGACGCTGTTCTCCACCACGCCGGGAGGTGAGCGCCCGCCTGGCCCCAGCCCGCGACGCCCCGCAGGAACGGGCCCCGGCGCCTGCCTCGCGGCCGTCGCACCCTCGCCCGGCCCCCTCCGCCCCCGCGGGCGCGCCCGCTGCGCCCTGCCTTCCCCCTCCGTCTTGCAGTCGTGTGCCTGCGCGCATTGCTGCTTGGTTGTCGAGCGCCCACCGGCCCTTCTTATTCTTAGAAAGGGAGTTGGAGCGAGGAACGAGCCCCGAGACCGGGTGGTGACATGTTTTGCTGCTTTTAGAACGTCAGGAAGAGGGCGGAAGGCCTTGCCCAGAGTTGTCCTGCTTTGACAGCATTGTTTACTTTTCTGGACGAGGCCCCAAGAGGGCTCGAACGGTAGCCAACGGAAGGAGGGAAGGGGTAGGGTGTTGGCATCCTGAAGCGTAAGGTTTCGGTGATCGCCTAAGGAGACGGATCGCTGGGAGCGTTGTCGAGCAGGGTACTTGATCCTGGGGAAGGGGCTGGTAGAGACAGGGGTGCAGGGGGCGGATCCTGGGCATCGCTTCTGAAAGGCCGACCGGGAACTGTTCACAAGCGACACTAGGGTAGAGGTGAAGCGTGTTGAGTTGGTCTCCGGTGAAGGGAGCTCAGAGGTTGTCTGTGCCTTGGCCGGGCTGCTCTGCAGAGGGAAGAGGCTGGAAGGCGATTTTGGGGGCCTTGCTGAAGGGAAGGAGGCTTGCTTTTTAACTTTAGAACTTTGCCTTCTTTGGGTGACTGAGCAGACAGCCTCTTGATAGAGGGTGGGGACTTGTCTGGCAAACTGCAGTCTGCAGGATTCCTGGCCTCTTTCCCGAGGGCAGGGCTCCTGAGTTGTACTACAACCAATCCCTTGCAGTTAGGCCTGGGCCAGCCTTGGCTCTGTTGCACAATAGCAAGGCCTGTAGAATAAGGGGAAGTTCTTGCCAACACCAAGGGATAAAAATCTGAGAGCGCTTGACAGGATCCAGCCGTAGGCCTCTAGGGGAAGGGTGGCTGCCTGCTAAGACTGAAATGACCCAAGCAGGCGAAGTTCATCGCTATGTATGCAGAGCCAGGTTCAAGGAAGTGGAAACGGTCGGTCCACTGCAGAACATCAGAGTTCCTAGCCAGGGGGTTTAACTTCATTGGAGAAACCCACCTCCTATACGGCCTGTTCCAGATCAGCCCCGGTATTGGAGTATGCTTTTTTTAAAATTAAGTTTATTGGTACATTTTAGGTATATGTGATGATCAAATTCATCATAGGAAATTTGTACCTGTACGGGATATAACTTGATTCTTTTTTTCCTATTTTTCCTAGTCCCCTACCCTCCCTTTAACCCCTTTTCTCGTCCTTATTTACAAAAGTTTTGTTTCCATTTTTTCCTTATTTTTTTCTTTCCCCGTCCTTCCTTTTCCCTTCCCCCCTCAGTTCCCCTTCCCTTTTGAACATTTTTTTCCTGTTTTACAATACCTATTACACATTTTAGTCCTTTTTTACACTTTCAGTTTCATATCAGAGAAACAATTCACTATTTACACATGTCCGATTTATTTCACTTAAGAGTATGGTTTCAGGGTGCATCCGTTTAGCTAGAAATGGCTCAAGCTTATCCTTCTTTATGGCCGGAGTAGTACTCCATTATATAAAAAAACCCCACATCTTCTTTATCCATTCATCGGTTTATGGGCATTTGGGTTGTTTCCAAGATTTAGCTATTACAAACTGTGCTGCTATCGACATGTTTGTGCATATATTGCTGTAGCATACTTTTTAATTCTTTCAGGAAGATACCAATAAGGGAAATAGTTGGATCGAATGGAACCTCTAGTCTTGGTTTTTTGAGGAATTTCCACACTAATTTCCACAGTGGTTGCACCAGTGGGAGCATGCTTTTCAATTTGGAGAAAATTTGGCAGACAAAAATCTACCTCAGAGTTGTTTTCAACTTGAACATTTTTTTAGCTTTAAAAAAACGGACAGTATTTTCTAAGGTGACGGAAAGGGATTTATAACTTATTGCAGAATTCTCTGAGGGGTGGTCGGTATATTCCTGAGCTTCTAGCAGATTGGAACACATGTCACTGATAGAGCGGCATTTAATTAATTTGGGGAGGAAGCTAAAACTTTAGTTGTATGTTAAATCTTATTCCCCGGAGAAGAGCCACAAAGGGAAACCTTTTGACATACTTCAGACAGCAGGCTGCCATGCTTTCAAAATAAAGACATAGCCTTTGAACGCTGCTTTAAAGATAGAAGCCTGTGTCATAGTCTGGATTCATTCTTAAAATGCTTGGGAAGATTCTGCCGGAAATACTTACTCATTTACACTCCCAACACACACACACAATTAACCACTGCTTGATCAAATGTCCCTTAAACTGCCCACATGTAACTGATAGTTTTGGAAAAGATTTAAATACTTGTCCTTGTCTTATCTGTAATATTTAGCTTGTATTTATTTCAGTCCCACACCCCTTTTCTTTTTTGAGTCAGGATCCCACTATGTAGTGAAGGGTGGCCTCGAATTTGAGGCTATCCTTCTGCCTTAGCCTCCTGAATGCTGGGATTGCAGGTGTGGGCCACCTCACCCCGGCTAGCCTGTATTTATTGGTAGAGCCAGCCCATTGTGGTGATCTTTGGATTTTTTTGGTTTTTGTTTGTTTTTGAAACATAGATCTCACTATGTAGCTCGTTCTTTTGGATTTTTTTTGAGACAGGGTCTTGCTGTATACTTCAGGCTGCCCCTAAACTCACTATGTAGGTCAGGCTGGCCTCCAGCTTTCAGCAATGGTGCTTCAGCCTCCTGAGTGCTGGGATTACAGGCATGTGCTACCGCACCTGGCTCACTATGTAGTTTATTTATTAATTTTTTTTTTTTGCTGTACTGGGGCTCGAACTCAGTACCTTGTGCTTGCCAGGCAGGCGTTTATGCCACTGAGCTATATCCCCAGCCCCTCACTATGTAGTTTAAACCGGCCTTGAACTCAGAAACCTCTGCCTCAGCCTCCCTAGTGTTAGGTTTACAGACTTGGGGTTACAGACATGTGCCACCACAGGCAGCCTGATCTTTGAATTTTTAACATGTGAGGTCTTAATGTTTATAAGAGTATAGCACTGTTGAACTTATTTAAGTATACTGTACTTACTGTCCTGTCCTCTTTGGAAATTTTCTGCCCTCTGATGCTTTGCTTCATCTCCTTACATCTCTCTCTCCCTCACCATGTAATGTTACTTCCCAGAGCTGGGTTGAAGTTGTTACTTGGTTACCTCCAGATATCTGATGAATGTAGTTATGTATTTGTCCTGAGTTTTATAGGTCCATGCAGTGCTTTGTACAAAACAGGACACCAGACAAAAGTAGGAAATGCTCTGAATAGGCTCAAAATCATGCTTTGGAGGGATGGGGAGGTGCAGATAAGATTTTTAGTTCTGAATAATATAAAGTACTGACTTACATCTTTCAGACTTTAAGACACTTAGAAGAAAATGAGAGTTAGTAGGCTTACATTGGAAGTCTCTGTGTAGTGAGATGATAAGGGAGTACATTTCCTGCCTCAGACTGCTTTAACCTTGGAATATCACTTGTGCCAGAGCAGAGCATTCCACAATAATAGTCAATATACTGAATGCCCTAAATGATCAGATTTGGTAGGGAAGATCACAGCCTGGCCAACCTAGGATTTCTCTCTCCTTGAGAATCTTTTTTTTTTTTTTTTGTCTTTTTGAGACAGGGTCTAACTATGCAGTTCAGGCTGGCCTTGAGCTCACTTTGTAGCCAAGGCTGGCCTTGAACTCGCATCAGTCCTCTTGCCTCAGCCTCCCGAGTGCTGGGATTTCAGGCGTGCGCCACCATGCTTGGCTGAGACTCCTTTATTCATTGGAGATTCCAAGAGCCTACCCTGAATGTTTCTCAGACTTGCCTTTCTGTGGTTAGGGAAATGAAAGATGGATGAAAGTGCACTTGCTATAACACCTTGGATTTATTGCGTCACTAGAAGAGTACCGTTTCTCACTAAGGAAGAAGAAATTTTTGTTGTTTCATTTTTGCTTATCTGCCCATGGAAGAGTGGGGATATTTGTTCTTCCATTGATTGAGATGCTTTTTCTAGCCTCAGTGGAAAGTAAGGTTACTAGTGCTGGCTTCACTTTTGTAACAACACCTGGTTAGCTGGAAGGGTCCTAATGGTTTCATTTTATAATTGAAAGGAATTGAGAAATTAACTTGTTGGTCTCATACAGCCAATTACAGTGGTACCTTGGTTCACAAACCTGATTCTATCCATGATTCTGTTTGCAAACTGAGTTGTACTAGAACTGAATCAGATTCATTGGTTCAGTTCAGTATTAACATTATGGGGAAATTTGATTTGGTTCTTGTCCAGTTCATTTGGAACCAGGCTTGTAGAGAGAATTGAGGTGCCACTGTAATGTGAAGGGATACCTCAAATTCGATATCCTAATCACTATTCAATTTTTTCCTCCAGTATGTTAAGATACTTATCTTACTAGGAAAGGAAGTTTGTAAGCATTCAAAGAGATGTGCTACCCCTGGAAAATAATTCACTTAGAGTGAGCTACATAAAAACAAGAATTTAGGGAGAGACCTGGTTGTTTTTGTTTTTTGAGACAGGGCCTCACTATGTAGTCCAAGTTGGCCTTGAGTTCTCTATGTAGCCTAGGCTGGCTTCAAACTTGTGATCCTCTTGCCTCGGCCTCCCGAGTGCTGGGATTATAGGTGTGCACTACCGTGCTCAGCTGGTTTGTTTCTTGGGAACAGTGAATCTTATTCTGGGTGTAGATACGGGGAAGGAAGGAAGGTTCTAATTGTCATAACATTTCTCCTTAGGGGTCAGGGATATAGCTCAGTGGCACAAGCACCTGCCTGGCAAACACAAGGACCTGAGTTTGATTCCCAGTACAAAAAAAAAAAAATTTGTTCTTTAATGACCTTGGGCTTAATTTACTCTAGGCCAGTAACTTCTGAACCAACCAATATTCTTATTTAACTTTG